TGTAAAAACGCGTATGGCTACTGCATGATAAAGATTAATAAAAATCGAGAACAATTGGAGACCGAAAAGAGGCCAAACGAGCCAAACTGGAATGAGACAAAAAGGCTCAAAGAAAAAGTAAGGGGAGGAGTGTGAAATACAGCAAAAAAGTGAGCTGGAAGAACTAATAGCGTGAAAAGTAACATAATTCGTATCACGTGCGCAATGTAGACAGGGTGCAGTGGGTGGAGGGTGCAACAGGAAAGACGGGGACGGATCACAGAGAGACAAGGAGTGGTTGGACCACGGAATGTAGAATGAAGACGAGGCGGAGGAGGGCAAAATAGGAGGACGTTGCCGGCGTCGAGCCTCCCCCCCACACCTAAACCGGTTTTTTGGGATACATTTGGTTGACGGTGTTGATGAGGCGCTGGCGGGTTTTGCGGTCACCGCGAGAGAGACAGGAGGCCAGGCCGGTGAGTTGGCGCTGAGAGTACCGCTTGGTGGCGTCCTGGGACACCAACCAGGTCTCCCACTCCCGAACCGGCACATAGAAGGCCTGAATATAGTCCACCAGGAAGTCCAAATTAGCAAACGGCCTGGATAAAGGGAAAATGGGTGGCGGTTAGGACGTGTGGAGTGCCTGCGAAGTTGCTAAAAAGGCTGATGATAGTGCTGTTTTGGTGCAGGTAAATAGTCAATCGATCAGACAAGGTTTACTAACTGCACATAGCACATCTTGGTCGTTGAATCAGTAAGTACACAAGGAAAATAGGAGAGAAATGCACGTGCTTTACCAAATAATAACTAGCGAATGTTCAAATTGCAGGTGTCTGTATGAGTAAGGAAAAAGACGGACCGAGCATCGGAATTACTTGTTTATGTCTGAGTCTTACAACTCATGCAAACGTCCAAGAGAGAGGATTACAATGAAGAAGTCATTGCTCTGCTCGATAACAGAACATTTTATAAATCAACACAGAACCCACAAGCCAAAATACTAGAAAGTCCGTTGAATAAATTATTCGGAGAATTCAGACATCAAAACGTTATCCCAGAAAATTAATGGCATCAAATGAAATCTGGTTCAATTCTATGGTCTAAACTAAATGTTCAACTGCGGCCAATCGTTACCTTAAAACGCAGGACCACCTACAGTTTGGTAAAATGGACGTATCAGGATGGGTTCGGCAGATTTAAATAATTCAATTGACCAATTTTGAAAAATTAGGCGTAATCGGATGTACTCAAAAGTGAAATTCGTCCAAGACGGTTCGAATACCGCAGTTTGATAGGCCTCCAAATTCCTTGTAGAACGCCCAGGTTGGACGATGAAGTCAAAAGAAAGCATAATTTCATATGAAATGACGTAGTTTTTTTTCAACTCGCCGAAAGAAACGGAAGGAGACATAAGGCGAAACTCAGAGCCCGCTCAAAGTTGAGCATCTCATGAGGCTGACGGATAAATCGTAATTAAATGGGATTCTAAGGGATATATCCAAGTGCAGATCTAGCAGCACATAGCTAGGAAGCCAGAGTTCGAGGCGAAACAACGGTGACGAAAAACGCGCATCGGCGCCCAGTTCTGGACAGCAAAAACGGGAGAAGATTTAAGGTCACATAGGAGCGCGGCTCATCGATCCGTTTTCATTGAATGTGCGGCCAACGTCGTCTTACCTTGCAACACCAGTCTAGAGTCCCCCTGCAGGCGTTGGTATAGCGTCGAGCAAAAAAACAGGTAGAAATTAGTAAGGACGAAACAAAAGCCGTTTTCGGTCCAGTTGCCATTGTCAAATGACCACATTCGTCAAACACGAGTCGGGAAGATCTAAGCCTTGCGAAGGTGAGAGTGCCAGCATGAATTGAAGTTGCTCACCGGGGGAGATTTGCATTCTTCCCGAGGTTTCAAAAAGCTCTCCATTTTCAAAGCGTTAAGTGTCAAATATCGATCAGGATTTCGAATGAGTGGCTGATAATTTTTTGCTTCTCTCTTTCGCTATCTCGGGCTTCTAGCGGATGTTTGCGGGAATTGATGGCCGCCGACATCTAGACCTTCCTGTGGCATATAAAGTCCTACGTCATTAAGTACATAAAGACCAGAACAAGATGGCCACGCCGAAGAAATCCGAGCGCATCCGACCCACGACGAATCCACCCGAAAAGGAGGCAGACTTACAAGCATCTTCTATCGGGGTGACAATCGGTCACACCAGTTGCCCTCAATTTTTGCAAACATCCACCAAAAGGCCGAGACAGCAAATGAAGAAATACTGGATCAATATAAGACCGATTAGTTCTCATAAATTTTCGACGTCAAACGCTTTGAGAATTGAGAACCAACCAGGCTCTTCGAAACATCAGCCACAATACAAACCTGTCTAGGTGAGCAATTTGAGTTTTTCATCACATTGTCATTTCCGCATACTCTGATTCCTCATATGTTAATACATGTCGTAAAACAATTCTGTTTGTTCATGCGTGCCCTTCTATGGACTGATATCACTATGCATGCCAAAGAATTTGGGTTAAGTACACTCAAATTCTGGGAAAAGGTTTTTTGTCAACGTAAATCCGGGTCAGATGATGCATTACTGAGCCCCGAGCTATCTTCCAGCTGAATGAGGTCATATATAACTGCTAGGTGGCTTTAAATATTTCTGATAACATATGACAGAGCGCGAGTTTGTGGTTCAATTAGTAGAACAGCCGCCTTTATGGTTGAAAAGACAGAGTTTGGGCCCAAAGACTCCCGGTTTTTGTGTGACTTGCATTATCATCGCAAAAATCAGAGTTTTTTAAATTTCCCCATGCACTCTAGTTGACCTTCATTTCGAACTAAGACTGGAACAACGCCTTCTTAATGCGGCCTCCTGGAGCCTTTCGCTTCATGAGATTCGAGACCTTCTTCACTGATACCTGGTACATGTAGAGAATGGGACCAAGATGTGTGTGTGTGTGTGTGAACCTCAAAGCTGCCGACATGACGAAGGGGTATTCCGACGTAATCTGCTTGTAACTGCTGGTCTGCGCCCTCCAAGCAGAGACAGTGTGCTAGCCAAAATCTTTCCCAGGATAACTCGGGTGTTTACATGATCAACTCAGGTGGGGATGAGGAAGCTGGTAAGTGCGTATTCCTATCTTTTATGCTTACTGTACGTATAGGACGCATGTCTTATTACTCGGCTATTTATACAGTTATAGGAAATACTAAGTTGGCATTCGTAGCTGATTCTGGAGCAGGTTGCTCCCTTATTACACAGGAGACGCCCTGTAAACTGCAATCTAGAGTTAGATATTATAGTAAGTCTAAAATTAGCCCGAAAACGGCGAATAGCACTACCTTTCTACATAAAGACATGGTATAAATTGGGGCTGTTATTTACTAAGGTTTCGTCAACCCATAAGTCTATTATTTGGCCCGGTATAGCTTGGGACTGCATACTAGGGGCCGATTTTCTACGAGTACATTTAAGTGTTTGTCAGATTTAAACGATAGCATGTTCTGCTTCTGTGGCACTGAAGTGTTCCTCTCCGGACAAACAGCCGGAGGTTAACACACTCAAGCTAGACGCAATTAGAAGTTAGATGAAAGTGTTAAGAATTTAGTCCCAGTCAGGGTAGAGAGTGTGTTAGATCGGGCACAAAGTCTACTCTCACTTAAATTACAAGCGCTGTTATGGCTTGCATTGGAGAATGAGGCTAATGCCCGATTCCCCTTATAAGTCTCGGTCTTCTTGACACCGAACAAGACGGGTGACAGTGGAGAGTTCGGTAGATGGTGCGCAAGTCTACTATCACTTAAAACCAAATATGCGCGAGCCACCTTCCCAGCGCCAACCCGTTGGGAGCATACGTGCGGACACCATAGAAATCAATGGTGTTTGTGTGTGGCAAGCGTGGAAAGTCTTTCTTAGCTTTATCAAAAAATGCACTCACGTTCACCAACGATAAGCTCAACCATGTCTCACCCTCAGAAGAGGACAGATTCACGCGTAGGGTACTACCGCGT